GATGGTGGAAAACACCGAAACGTTTTTTTAAATTGATAAATGAACAATAAATAAATGACTGAAGAACCCAGGACTTGATTTTAATTTTGGAATCATATTCAAAGTTTGAAGGTAAAATATATTCACTAGATACTTATCTAATGGAGACTCTGACTCATTAGCTTTTTGTTCTAGATTCGTTTTAAATTTATCCTGCGAGAAAACACAGTCTGGACACTTTTGAACACACTGCATAGAAAATCAGGAAATGCTGTGAAGAATGATTTCATATATGCGAAGCAGCAGACTTCGCGGATAGAAAAGACGTACCGACAGCGTTGCAAGGTCCGAAAATCGAATTTCGGTAGATAAGCTCGACGTTTTTGGGTAGATATCGTAAAAAATCGGTAGACTCATTTTTCTTTTATTATTAAGGGCTCCATAAAATCGCACGTTTTTCAAAACTTTAATTTTTATGAACTTACAGCAATACTAAAATAAACATAAGAGCAATATGTATATTTACAATATTTATTTAAACATTACAACACATTATTAACAAAAATAAATTAATAAACACACAGAAAATAAATAAAATCTTCATCAGACATATTGCTAATAAAATTATTAATTCTAATTTCACGAACTAAACACTTTTCTTTCTTTTAAATAAAAATATCTCCTCAGTCTTCCAAATTGTCCTTATATAAGATTTTATCATTTATAGATATGACAATTGTCGCTACCAATATATCTCTTGGTGTGAAGTAAAGATAAAAATGTACTAGTTTTTAACTTATTTCTCAACTTAGTTTTCATTAGATTAACCTTTGAAAATGTCCGTTCTACATTGGATGATGAGTGAGGCAGAATAAGCAAGTTTCAAATAAAATTAGTTAAAATTGGAAGCATGAATGAATCATCTCCATATTTCAATATGTTCAGAATTTTTTTAAATTTTTTCGACATTACGCAATAGACGTTATTCTGTGGCCAAACCTTGTAATTCACTATTATTTATTAAATTTGGAACTATCATCGCAACATCAGAAATAGATTATAGGGAATCTGATTTTAATATTGCCG